GGTTTCTGTTCCTACTTATTTAATTATTCTGGACATTTGAATGGGCTCAGATATTATTTGTCCTTTTGTGACTGACTTTCTTCACTAACATGTTTTCAAGGTTCGTGTGTGTTGCAGAACACTATTCCTTTTATAAATATATCACATTTTATTTCCCCAGTCATCAGTTGAGGATATGTTGGCTCTTTATACTGTTAGCTACTATAAATAATGCTGTTCAACATATTGGCTCAGGAACTGACATCCTTAAATTAAAAAAAAATTGAACATTCATGTACAATTTTTTTGTGGGCATATGTTTTCATTTCTCCTGGGTATCTACCAAGGTATGGAAACTTTCTTCTTTTATAACATTTTCCTTTGGGTCTTTTAAAAGGAAGAACAATTTGTGGCCTACCCTAACAGAACCACTTTTTTTTCTCCTTTCATGTAACTTTTTTTTTTTTGGGGGGGGGCTCTTCTTAGTTATACATGGCAATAGAATCATTCTGATAAAATTCAAGCATGGAATGTATCTTATTCTAAGTAGGACCCTATTCTTGTGGGCTGGCACAATGAGGGGGTTTCACTTAAGTAGTTTCCTATGTGTGCATAAGAAAATTACGTTAGATTTATTATACTGTCTTTCCTATTCCTTTCTCCCCTCCCTTCCTTTCATTCTCCTTTGTCTAATCTACTACTCTTCTTCCCCTTCCCCCTTTATTGCAGTTTAGCTATCACATATCGGTGAAAACATCTGACCTCTGGTTTTCTGGGATTGGCTTATTTCACTTAACGTGATTGTCTCCAGATTCATCCAAGTAATGGTAAATGTCATCAAGTTATCTCTCTTAATAGCTGAGTAATATTCCACAAAAACACACACTGGATAAAAAATAGCCTCTTCAACAAATGGTGCTGGGAAAACTGGAAATCTGTATGTAATAGAATGAAAGTTAACCCCTATCTCTCATCCTGCACAAAAATCAACTCTAAGTGGATCAAAGACCTCGATATTAGATCAGAAATGCTGCACATAGTTAGAAGAAAATGTAGGCCCAATACTTCAACATATTGGCTTGAGAACTGACGTCCTTAACAAGCCTCCTAAAGCACAAGAAGTAAAATMAAAAATCAATAAATGGGATGGCATCAAACTAAAAAGTTTCTTCACAGCAAAGGAAACAACCAAGAGCATGAAGAGAGAGCCTACAGAATGGAGAAAAAAATCTTTTCTACCTACACCTCAGATAGAGTGTTAATTTCCATGATGTAAAAAGAACTCAGAACCACTTTTTAGTTGGATAATTTAAGGGAACCCACTTTATCCTTTAATTGGCCAGGACAGAATCTCCAGACACTAAAGAAAGTGGCAAACCACTTCATGGGAAGGGAAACTGGATCTACGACTACTGGTTCCCCCAAATTTGCTTTTCCTTGGGAAGCCATCATTACCTTCCTCTGCTGACCCGATGCTGACTGCAGACTGGGTACAGYTTTTTCACTTTAATGCTCTGACCCTGAATGGGCTCAATTTCTGTGATATGAATAAAAGCAGTCTGCAATTGTTAAACCAAAACTCTCTAAATTCTCAAAATAAGAAGGGAAATAGATAAAGATACATATACACAAATACTATGATTAAAAGGTACAGCATAGTCCCCTTAAACAGGGATCGATACATGGCTACTGTCCAGCTCAGTTCCAGAATTGCCTTCATGAGACAGAGGCTATTTTTCCCGACTACCCAAGTATGTCCCCTCAGACAAATGAGTTCCTCTACATATGGACAAGAGGATGGGGCTAAGAGAGGCAGGTCCACTCTGTCTACATGACCCAGCTGGAAGACTAGCAAGAAAAACATCCACTCATTTAAGGGGAAACCCCWCCTATTCATAGAGGGGCCTTGCCTATGGCCTCAACAGAGGAACAATGCCAAAATACTTCATGATAAGTCTAACATCCCCTGAGAGATGGACATGTGGAAGAGAAGGGAAATGTTTCTGAGTCATTATCTACTTAGGAAGTCAGGTAGTCAACCAGATGGCCAGTTCATTCTTTATAATTGATGGAGCTGTCCCCAATGAAGTTTAGCCTGTATCAAAAGAGGCCTATATCTTTGCTTGAATAAGACGTCAGGAAATAATCATAGGTGGAGGCAGAAACAGCTGAGTAGAGAAGGTACTTGTTATGAAAAAAATACTACATCTTTGATAGGAAAGATCTTGCCTTTTTTTTTTTTTTTTTTTTTTTTTTTTTTTTTTTTTTTTTTTTTTTTTTTTTTTTTTTTTTTTTTTTTTTTTTTTTTTTTTTTTTGAGACTGGCTCTTTCTATACCAACTCAGTCTGGTCTCAAACTTTTGATTCTCCTGTATCAGTCTCCCAAGCAATAGAGATTATAGGCATGTGCCATCATACCTGGCTAATATCTCACTTCTTCAACTGCCCACAGGCCCATACTCTCCTCCCCATCTGTTTGGTTGCATTTACTCCCTTACTCCCTTGTATCAAGTAAGGGATACCTGATATCCCTCTTTACCAAGTAAGGCAGATTTCACCCGTATGGTCATATAAGCAGTAGTAACTTATATTTAACTGGCTCACTGCATGCAAATGACACTCCTCCCAAATATTTATGGGAGTCCTCATAGTGTGCTTCAGATGCTTATGAGCTATTTGCTCCCCAGATGCTGCCTATACTTTGCAGTATACCATACTGATTGTACTGTTCTGACAGGCATGATCATGAGGCACCAGATCTGAGTTCCCATAAGCCTGGTGGTCTACAGTAAAATAGAGGAATGCCCAGTTATCTGTGAAGTTTTCTCTTCCTAGGACCCTTCCTCAGTTCAAACTGGAGTCAAAGATGCTGTTTGTATTCCTTCGTGAGATTGCCCATCAGATGTGGACATAGGAGGGGACACAGGAAAGCACAGAAAAATGAGTTTTATTAAATGTACTCATAGGTAAGACAGTCAATGCATGCCATGAGAGGGCTATATAAAGGGATCCAAGGAAGTAAGTACAACCAAACAGGTGGGGAGGAGAGTAAGGACCTGTGGGCAAGTGCTAATATTGGGGGTCAAGGTGGAATACACAAACAAAAGGTATGTAGGGATTCCACTGAAATGTCTGGATATTACTACTGTTAGAGAAAAAGTGATTCAATAATAACTGTTAAAACACAGAGAGGCCTACTTTATTCAGGACTATCTCCATAGGCAAGGGACCATGGCAATGAAGTGTTGCATTGGAGAGAGACTGGACTGACTCAATTCTGAACATTGCAAGAGCAAGAGGATATGTATAGTCAAGTAATAAGGTGGGGGAAATTACTAAGAGGAACCACCAGGTGGTAAAGAAGAAAAACTGACTGCCATCGTTTGGGTATGAGGTGTGAAGCAAAGACCCTGTTAACAAAGGGCTGTTCAGAGGTGAAACAATCCAATTGTGAAAGTTGTAATCTAATCTGCACATTCTAGTTTGAATGAACTGATTGGGTGTTAACTGTAGGCAGGTGGGGCATGCCTAGAGGAGGTGGGACACTGGGGATATGCCCTGGATGAATTCCATCTTTTCCGTGGCTTCTTTTCCCACCTCTCTCCTCTGTTTCCTGCCTGCCATGAGGTGAGCAACTTGTCTTGCCATGGCCCTTCTGCTTTGATGTTCTGCATCATGTTGGGCCAATGGAGTTGGCCACCTATGGACCTCTGAAATAGTCAGCCCAAATAAACTTTTTTTTTTTTTTTTACTTCTAATTTGTTCTTGTTGGGTCAGCAACACAAAACACATCTACGGGGATGCTGAAGGCAAGCCCTGGTTATCAGCTATCACCTGGGGCATAGTGGATTGCTGATCAGCAATCAAGGGTGATCACATAGTGAGGGTAGGTGTTCTTGATAAACCGAGTTTGCAGAAAGTGGATTTCATAAGGAAGTGCACAAACTAATCTAGGAAAATGTTCAGGAACCTGGCCAATGTTTGACCAAGCAAAGTATCTTTGCCACTAGGTCACAGACAAAGAAGGACAAGAAGAATTTGTGACAAGAGCAGCTTTGTCATGGGTGTACCTGGTCCACTGGTCAGGGGGTTTACAGCTTGTTTGTGGGGATTTTTTTTTTTTTTGGTGTGGGGGCGGGATATTGAGGCAGGAGAAAAATACAAAATTTTAAACTATGCTGTACAGATTTCACATTGTTCTAACTCAGCCCCACATTGTTGCACGGTACCTGTGCAAACAAATAGGGGGTACCTGTGCAAACAAATGGGGCTTTGCTCCTGGACCAGAGGGTTGTACTTGGATCTCACAGAGGGAAGACAAACTGCAAATAGACTGGGGTTGTAGCAACCTGCAAGTCCCCAGATCTTTTCAGACATGGCTGAAACTCAGCCACAGCGATTCCTCCTGTACCTCAGATTTCCTATCTGAATAAGCCTTAATATCTCTTATATTCTGAAAAACTAAGATAAACCTGTCCTGAGAGCACACTGCTCTTTTGGTATTCTCCAGGCAGGGTTAGAAAGGACAGCAGAGGAGTTGTCCCAGAGACCTGCCCAGGTGGGTAACTGGTGTGGGGATAGCTGTTATCAGAGCTTCTGGTCTCTAAGTCTCCCATATGAGGATGTGTTTCACATCCACAGCCTTATGGGACTGGGCAAGAGTGGGAAGCCAGGTCTTTACTCACATCAGCCCACTCTAAAGCCACAGAGGCAGCAGTGATTGATAAGGTATTCTCTATCATGTCACCATGTACATAATTTCAGAAAATTTACCCATTATGTTGTGCTGTGATTTTTGCATTTCTCATCCACTAGCTAGGCATTCTCAGAAACTTTTTAATCTCTTATGTCCTCATGGCCTAGCACCAATTAGAAGAAAACTAAAATAAGACTTTTCTCTTAAGGAGGACAAATCATATTGATTTGGTTCTAAATAAATAGCATGAAGAATAAAAGAGAATCAATAAAAGACTGAAGTTAATATATTATAATTATATAAATGCAAAGTTCTATTTGCTTGTGTCCTTTTTTTTATATTTATTGTGCTCCAGGGCATTTATAGTAATAGCGAAGGGATCTCTCTGGTCAATAAAATATTTCGATGATTAAATATGCTTTCACATTATCTCTTGTTACCAAAGATGTCCATTTTTTTTTCAAAACAAAGAAACTGAAAATAAAACACAAGATTAAAAATAAATAAATAAAGCCTGTGGCTCCTCCTCCAAGACAACCCCCCCCCCTCCCAACAGTGATGAATAGGAGGGACTGTATTCCTCGCCCCTGGAGACTATCGTTGCAGATAGTCTGTTTTGAAATTCTTTTCTTTAGAGGAGATTTTTTTTTTCTCTCTCTCTCTCTCTCTTTAAAAATATCAAACAAAGCTGCTGTTTGCTATTCCTGTGGCTGGCGCACCACCTGGGGCTGAGGACATGGGCGGCATCACCGGGCTGGGGAAAATGCAAATTGATGATGGAGCGTCGGGGGATGCGCTTTTCCTTTTCTGCGAACAGCACACTCCTTGAATGACAGCAAATTCTCTACAGGTTTTCCCTGCGGGAACGTGCCCCTCGCGGTTCATTCGGTTTTCTCTAGAAAATCGGCCACCGGAGAGGACCGGGGCGCGGCATTGCTGGAGMGGTTCCAGACCCGGGGGCTCCAGCCCAGCCTGCGCGTACCCGCGGACAGGCTCTGCGGGCTACTATCCCGGTCCCAGCAAGGCCAGGGCCGGCGGATGGCGTGAGCCTATTCCGAACCGCCGAGGGCAACGGAGGTCCCGCCGAGCCCACTTTTCCCGCCGCAGCGAACAGCAGCCGCGCGGGGCGGAGGCACCACGTGCAGCTCACCGGCTGCATCCAGATGTGCAGGCACCTCGCGGGGAAGAAGGCCACTAGGCGAGGCTATAGCGAGTTCCAAGACTCCGCTCATCCCGCCAGCTCACAGTTTCGCTCTTTCTAAAGGAAGCCCTTGGCTCCGGCTGCGGGATCTTCGGTAGGTGACTGGCGGKCGAGACAGCGCTGCTCCAGCCGGAACGCCCCGGCAGGAGGTTTGTCCCCGCCCGCGCGCCGTGCCGCGCGGCACCTAGGGTGGGGAGAGGGCGCGCGGCGGAGATGGGCGAGACCATGTCAAAGAGGTTGAAATTGCATCTGGGAGGGGAGGCGGAGATGGAGGAGCGCGCGTTCACCAATCCCTTCCCGGACTACGAGGCCGCCCTCGCCGCCGCGGGGCTCACTACCGGAACCTCAGAAGAGTCGGGCTGTGTTCGCACCCAATCCAMCACAGATGAGTTAGGCCTTCCTTTCCACCACGACGGCAAGGTGAGTCGGCGGCCCTGCCTCGGGAAAGGCCCGGCGGGGGTGGGGGGGCGCCAGCGGTGGTAGCGTCCACCCATCGCGGCCGGCGGCGCGTTGACGTCACCCGCGCGCGTCGTTGCTGGCAGTCCAGGGCTAGGCACAGTGCGATGTTCGTTTGTCGTCCGCCGGCGCCAGCCTGCCGAGCGAGAATGGCCTAGGGGCTGTGAGCTTTTATTGCAGTGGCCACTTCAATGGCAGTATACGCCTCCTGGGCCCTCCGGTCTTTAAAACTCTAATGGAGCGCTTTGTTTCCTGGCGCCTAAAAGTGATATTAGGGTACTAGTGGCGATTGGGTATGCAGATTTATGTACCAAAGAAGGCCTGCCTCCTGGCTTCCTTCTCTAAAACTGTTGAATTTAATGTCAAAAACCTATTTGCATTTCTCCCTAGCCTGATTGTGTGTGGATGTCATACTTGGTTGGTTCCCCACCCTTGGACCTTATCGCTGACGAATAGTAGCAAAAAAGCATTGTTCATAAAATCAAGTCTTGTCATTTTTTTTTTTCCTGCGTGCCTAGCAATTGAAGACGGGAGTAAGAAGAGAAACTTTACTCTGTAAGGGTCCTCGCTGGGCCAGAGAATGAAATTAACGTGAACAAATTAACAGAAAGCACATAAATTTATTTCATGTTTTATTGACATAGGAGCCTCATAAAGAAATGAAGACGAAAGTGGCAAAACCAAATGCATTTATATTAGGCCAAACAACAAGAGACAATTATTGGAAAGGAACTAAAATACTGTTTATACGGAGAATAAAGGAATGTGATTATTTTAATAAATATAAAATTCTTCTGTCTTCCACACCCTGTCCCTGGTGATAAGAATGTTTCTCCTGGTATTGGGGCAGGCATCTTTTCCATGGAAGTTTTATCTCCTACTTTCAGGAGGAAAAGGGGAGGTTTTGAACACCCACCTGCTGTTTCTCAAGTGCTTTTAGCTCAAAATAATCCTTTTGCCAAAATGATATGTTTTACTGGGACATATTCTGCCACTTTTCTCTGGAATGTGAATACGATTTGTTCATGTTTGGTAAAACCACACATTTACCAAGTTGTCTTTTTCTCTATGTATTACAAGGCTCCTTTCACTTCCCTGGCTCCCCATGCATTTTATTTTTGAAAAGGGAGAAGTTGGCCAAAACTAGGAAGGTAAATTTGAAAGAGCCATTGGTCTGAATATGAAATCTAATGACTTCTCTAAGCCTCTTTTGTCTTACTTGTGATTAAAAGTTGGATAATCATTCCTAACTCAGGGAGGTTGGTGAAGAATTAAAGAATATAATTTGCCCAGCAAAATGCCTGATCTGCTACCTAGTAGGCTCTGAATAAATGTTAACTGTTTCTTAGCAGTTTAAATGCTATGCTTTAGAACTCTTATATCAATGTTGTTTTTCTCTGTTTCCTCTTTTTCATATGTCTGTTATATTTGTGACTTAGTGTTCATTTTTTTACAATAAATATCTCTAGCAAACACTTTTTTAAATCATTTATACTTATAATTAGTTGCTCTTTTAATACTTCGAGGTTTAGTGAAAAATGAAGTGAACTCTTGACAGCTTTTTGATAGGGGCAGGTGAGCATCATTTTCAACCTCACAATAAATAAGATAAATACTGGGACAACTTAAAGTACCAAAATTACAAATTTTTATTTTTACACTTTATATTTCAATAACTGTGATTTTGATCTCTGCTTTACACAAAATCAATTTGTTTAAAAATCGACAAATAATGAATGTGTCTTGTGACCAATTGTCTATGCAATTAAAATAGTAATAAATTGTCTTGGAGACCTATGCCAGTGGTTGTGATTATGTACTTAAGAATAGGGGAAATGGAAAATGTGTTCTTGAATGTGAAAATGAGCACTTTTTACAGTATTGGCCAAAATATGAAAAACAGTGAATCAAGATAATAGCAGGTTTTAAACAATGGGAGATTTCTATAGCAAATACTCTCAATACTTTACAGTCATTTCCTCCCTAACTTTTACTGGAATTTACTGTGGCCATGGACTTCAAGGGAATTGACTTCAGTTCCAGGAGCTGAATCCATAGCTGATCTAAGCTAGTAGTTCTTTGACCAGTAGCATCAGCTTTATCTGGCATATTGTCAAAGTTCAAGCAGGATAGAAACCACCCAAAGTTTGATTTTTCTCATTATAAATAAGGAGAGTTGTAGAGAATATAGGAATAGTGGAAATAAGGAGCAGCCTCATCCATAGGACCGAGAGAGTGTACAAAGAAAAGGTACCTGTGCTAATAACACAGGGGGTGCTATGCTGTGTATAAAATTACCCCCAAATTTAGCCTCTTTGTAAATATTTAATGTCTGAGAGTCAGGAATACGGTTGCCACTTAACTAAGTGCTTGTAACTTGTTGAGGAAGCTGCAGTCATTTTAAAGCTTAAATGGGGCTAAGAGAATCTGCTTCCAGGTTTGTTCACATAATAATTGTTGGCATGGCTCTTTAGTTATTATTTGGAGGCTTCAGTTTCTTACCACAGATAAGCCTTGCCATAGGGCTGTTTCAGGACATAGGGACTGGCTTCCTTCAAGGTGTACAAGAACAAGATGGAAGCTGCTGTCTATTTTATAATCTCAGAAGTGACCTATCACACAAATGAAGGGATTATACAAGCATATTAATATTAAGTGGTTTGCAKCCTTGCAGCCAAGAAATGAACTTGTTGGGGAAAGGCATGGCCATTGGCTGGCAGAGAAATGGGTGTGATACTGTACCACTGGAACTTGCTGGAAGTGTACCCTCTGGAACCATGCAATGAGTGGTATAGTAAGTGAGAATACACAAATGATATAATGAAGGCACAAGAAAGAGATTACTTCTGCCCACAGGAAAGGCTTTTCAGATTAAGGTGATATTTTTGAGGTCCTTGAAGATTAAGTAGGACTTGCCAGCCTAAGGTAGAGAACTACGTGAGCAAGGACTTTGGAGATAGATGCAGTACTAAAATAGTAGATTGTCAAGGAGTAAAACATGGCTGGAGAAGAGGGAGCATGAATGACATGGGAATTTGAGACAAAAGGTAGAGAGGGGCTGATTTTGATGGATCTGAAGGATTTTAGAACTTTTTCCGCAGAAAAATGAAATCAGGAAAACTTTTACTTTGCATCCTTAATTTGGTATAATCTTGAGTTATTGGAATGCTTTATTTTAAAATTTTATTTAATTTTTCATATTTTTGTTTAAAAGTGGATGGTCTTTCTATCAAAATTTGTTTAACTTCATATTATATAAACCTAAGGAAAACAGCACTTCTCAATAGCCCAGAGAAATATAATTCCTTTTTCTTCTTTCAAAATGAAGAGGTGTATTCCTATAGTCCCAGCTATGTGGGAAGTTGAGGCAGGAAGATCATCTTGAGCCCAGGAGTTGGAGGCTGCCTGAATAACATAGACTCTATCTCTTAAACACACATGTATATATGCTTTTATACATACATAACAAAATGAACTGTAGTGGTATATGGGTGTGGAGTAGAGGAATAAACTCTATAGCCTTTCTTCTCAAAATGAGGTTTGTGGACCAAGAGCACAAACATTTCCAGAAAACTTGTTAGGAATGCAAATCCCACCTCAGATCTAGTGAGCCACATTTTAACAAGATCACCAGGCCCAGGGTTATCCTAAATGTGAGAAGTAATATTCTTTCTAGCTCTATGACATTGTTGAATTTTCTTTTAATATGATCTTAACCACCWACCAGTTTTTAATTCCTAATATGGAAAGGTATTGACAGAAGGGTGATGGGAAGATTATGGAGAGGAGGCTAATGAAATAGTAAATTAACATTTCCCATTTTGTGAATAAACTGAAGTATAGAGCAGTCAATTACTTGGATAGACTTATTTGCTACTTTTCTGTCACTTACTTGCTTTTAAGTTGGAGCAGGTTACTTAACTACATTGAAACTTGGCTTTCTTACCTCATCGACTTGTTAAAAGTTAAATTGAAAGTTTAATTGAAGTTCTTAATATAGTTATAATATGTTTGTTAAAAGCTTGTAGTAATGATAGTTGTAATACCCCATTTTTATATAATTTTTATAATGGTTAATTAAGTTAATACATTTAAAACATTCAGAACAATGCCTGATATAAGTGGTAATTAGCTATACATAGTTACTGATGCATAGGTAAGTAGTGAGAATTTAGTTAATGGTAGCTATTAACATCATGCATTTTATATTATAAAATGTGATAATGACAATTTACTTTAAAATTTATATTTTCAGTAGAATACACAAAATATTACATAACCTTTGCTTTTATAAACTTCTTGCAATTATTAACTTTCTTGGGATTATGACATATTTGCCTTAGAGATTATACATAGGAGATCATCAATAACTTTTTTATGTCACACATCAAACTGGATTGAGATTTGTTTAGGATAGGTAATCTACAATATTTTCTACTCATAATAGAGTTTGAAATAAGAAAAACAGAATCAGACCTGATTACGTAAACCAATCCTTATGTTTCTGGAGAATGAACTATTTTTAAACATCTAAGCAAARAGCATTTTCTTGATACAGATTCAGTTTAGGTAAGGACCTATTTATCATAAATGTCACTAATGAAGGTAGATGTTTCCATAACCATCTAATTTTTACTGTAGAAAGATGCAGTTCTCCTGTCCACTTTCCCCTTTCATAATCAGCTTTAAGGTAAGAATTATGGGTTGTTTTATTCATTTTTGTTTAACAGAATGGAGTGTTAGAAAACCAAACCCAAAGCCTTTCAAATCTGTAAGACATCACAGAGCATCTTACTTACAAGTAAGATCCTTAAAGATTTGAGATTATGGAATGCACTTTCTTCTAACAAAAAGTTTTATAAAACCTTTCCTAAGAAAGATCGACTGGTGTATATACATTAGCAACTTTTTATATATTCTCACATAGAAGATGTGGGTCAAAAAGCTATTTTTATTATCTGCAA